TTGGGAATCCTGTCAGCTGATGCCAAATGCCTTCCTGCAGAGGCTGGGGAGAAGCTGCAGCCAGGCCAGGCTGGGAAACAGCCCTGCAAGCCATGAAAGCAGCAGCGGGGCAGCAAGGCTGCCATGGATCCCTTCCTGCTGTGCAGGGCACGGCGTGTCCAGATGTGCAGAGAAAGCCCCTGGCTGCTGAGTGTCAGGAGAAGGCTGAGGGACATGGACCCACCTTGTCCTCCCTGCAGCATTTCCTTCAGCATTTGCTGCATGGTATTGAGCATGGATGGCTCAAGGGGTTTCTGGTGTCCTGTAGCTTTGTTCTTTTCTCTTGGAGGACCTTATAAAAAAAATATATATCCATTTCCCAGGAATGGATCCTACAAAATCAGGGTTCAGCTTGTGGGATCAGCAAGGACACAATACTCACCCCTGCGATGGGAGTTGGGCTTGCGTGCAGCATCCAGCCCAGGAGCCTGGAAAGTCCTCCCTGCAGACACACCTGTAACTCAACAGCCACAGAAGCTTCAGTCATGTCTGCTGATCTGCACAGGCAGCACTGAGCTGCAGGAGCAGTGAGAGGATCATGCAGGGCGAGGGCACACATGTGCATGGCTCTGTCCTGGCACCTGCAGCGATGCTGCCCTGGCCGAGCTCTGGGCTACCCTCACCATCTCCCAGAGCCTCAGTCCTGGATGTGGGTTGAGAAGCCAGATCACCTTCACCAAGAGGCTTGGCTGCAAAGAAAGGCAGGACAGAAGAGTTCCCATGGCACTGTAGGAGACCCTCAGGCTCCCTGGGGCTGGCAAAGGAGCCACACGAGGCACAGCCCCGGGGCACAGCCCTGGACCCGTCCCCTTCTCTCTCTGCTCTTCTCTGTGGCTGCACAGAGCACACGGAAGGAGACATTGGCATTGCACATGGGAAGAGATTGACAGCTAAATCCTCCTTCCTCTTTCCCACTGACAGCAATGCTGTGGGATCACTCAGGGCTCCAGAAGGGAGCAGAGCGAAGTTTCCAGAATCCATCAACCTTCAGACTCTTAAGTGAAGTGGCACATGAGTGAGTTCTTACCACATTGACACTGACCACATTGACACTGATTATACTGTGCGGAAAGGGACATTGAGAACTTGCCTCCAGTATTCTCCATGGGTCTCAAACCGTCATGTCCCAGAGCTTCCAGATGCTCCATGTCACCATCCCAATCTAGAAGGGAGCACAGATCAGAATCATTCCATGGTGTGCTGGGATCCCCTTCTGCCTTAGGGAAGTGGGCACTGCAAGAGGGTCGGGGAAGGCCGTGGGAGCCAGATGTCAATGGACATGGCCAAAGCTGCAGAGGGACCTGGGGAACTCTAGGCTGGCTTTGGTCACTCTCCACCCTCTTTGTAGGCCCCATGCAACATCCCTGGAGAGGCAGCGGGACCAGCCCAGGGTCCCTGGGGACTCTCTCCCTCCCACAGAGGAAACCCTCCCTCAAGCCCTGGGGAAAACCATCCCCAACGCTTCCCAGGGAGAAGGAAGTGCTGTCCCAGGAAAGGGAAGCCAGGCCCTGGGCTCACCTGCTCCCTGTGCTCGCCACGGAGCAGCCTGGGCAGCCCTGTCAGGCAGGGCCACTGCCAGGAGGAGCAGGAGGAAGAGGTGCAGAGCAAAGGCCATGGTGCCTTGCCCACTGCCAGTCCTGCAGCTCTTGCTGCCACCACTGTCCTGACACTGCTGTCCCAATGTCAGCACCGCTGCTGCCGCCGCCGCTGCTGCCGCAACAGTCGTGGTCAAGGACTGACTGCTTGGTCCTTGTGGTGCTGTGCAACCACGGGGCTCTGGGACCTCTGTGACCTCAGAGCCTGCTGTCACCTCAGCCTGCTGTCACCCCAGAGACTGCTGTGACCTCATGGCCTTGGCTGTACCCCCCGAGTGTACTCCCATCTGTACTGGACTGATTGTAAATCTTTGACTTCATCAAAGGGTCATTGCTAAACAAAACCTTGGTTTTGCCTGCTGACATTGCTGGTCATGTTCTGTCCCAGGAGATGCTCTTGATGGTTGCCTCTTTTCCTGGGCATGGCACTGGAGGAGGTCCAGGCCCAGGTGATGTCACTGAAGGAAATGTGCCCTCAGCCCAGGGACGCTCAACACAGACTCCCCCAGCCCCTTGGGGCCCCGCTGCTGGTCACAGCAGCCCCTGCCTGGCTCCTGCCTGCCCACACCGTGGTCAGCCCCGCCTGCTCCTGGACATGGAGCTCAGCCAGGGCTGGTGCTGTGTGGGCTTTGCTGGTGGTACCAGCCGGACACTGGGGTGAGAGCTGCATCTCTTTATTGGAACAGAAGAGCTGTGTCAGGCCCTGCCCTGGCAGGAGGGACCCACCTTCAGTCCAGGCCACAGAGCAGGGCGGGTCCCTTCAGGGACACAGGGCCTTGCTTTGGGTGGTGGCAGCATCTGCACAGCAGCAAGCTGGTAATGTAGTTGTGACAGAGACATCACGTATGGGCATGGAGATGTGAAATGTGTGGTACAGGTGTCCCTGAGGGAGGTGTTGGCCTTTCCTGTGAAGCTGCAGAGGGGAATGTGTTGAGAGAGGAGATGGCTGAGGCCCCAGCTGCAGATGGCGCACAGGGACCCTCTTGCACACTGGGAGATTCTCACTGTGCTCACAGTTTCCCTCTGAAGACTAAGAGGTGAATGTGGATGGGCTTAGCAACTGATCTGCAGGCCAAACAATTGAGGCAGCAAAAGAAGAAATTGAGAAAATACGAGTTTATCCATAGCAAGGAAGAAAGCAAGGCTGTTAGCATGGAAACCAATAAAAAGGTGCATAGGGCGTATTTGCAGCTGTAATAAATGGAATTGGTTCATGCTCACTAAATTGTAGCCATTATTAAAGTTATTATTAGAAACAATCAAGAATCAGTGTTACAAAGCAGATGTACCCCTTTGCAGATGTCACAGGTCAAAATTAAGGTACAGGATGTAGTTTAGAAGATAAATGGTGTCTCAAGACCAAAATGGCCTTGAGATGGACCAAAATTAGAACAAATTTAGGCATTGGGCATAAGGATTAGTAAATATAAGGCTAATTAGTAGACTAACATAACACGAGGATTAGTACGCACGCGCAAACCTGTAAGGTTATCCAAAGGACAATGAGGAAAAGGAGAAGCCTTCGCCAAAAGACCACCAAAAGAAGACTGAAGACCTCCTAAAAACAAGTGAGGCATGTACCGTGAAGAAAAGTGACGTATAATCAGAAAAATCGGAAATAGGAGGAAACTTACAGGAAACATTAATGAATATGTATAAGCATACAGTATATGAGTTTAGCTTGAAGTGCTTTGTTTTGAATGTGAGGCAGGGTGGGAAGCCTCCGTACCCTGGTCGGTTTTGCTTATGCTTTAATCATACTTAATTACTAGTAGATTATATATATAAATTTTAATTTTTTATTAAACTGTATTATTTTACTAAACTGTATTCCTTTATACATTTTATACATTTTATACATTTTATACATTTTATACATTTATTACACATTACTATTCAGTTTAGTAAATTGTATTCATTTTTAATTAAACTGCCATTAAGCTAAGGGACCTAGTTGTCAAAATTCTAATTTCATTTATAACAATATTTTAACGAAGAAGGCTGGTACAACAACATTGGTATTTAACAACCGTGACACAATATGAGCTATATGAACAAAGAAGGCACCTTACAGTGACAACATTCTACTGTTCAAACTGTAAACATCTTTGTGTACTGATCAGGAGGTCATGATTTACTCTTTACAATCCTAATGCTGAATGTCTTGTTAGGCAGTCTGGTCACAGAGAAGAATGAATCCCTTGCAGGCTGCCCCTGTTTGGACAACATGCTCCTCACCCCGAGCCTCAGCATGTCTGACATGGCCCACCTGGGACTGACATCCCAAAACACTGAAAACATTTATCAACTTTTCTTTACCATTAAAATCTAATTAATTAATGAAAATAAAATTTTATTTTCTTATAATAATATTATTCTGTATTTTTATACCCTCATTTTTATATTTATATAAAAGAATTGGTACAATTTTAGGAACAAAAAACATTATCAGTCCTCTGTTCAAAGTACCACAATTCCCTTCATTAATTAATTGACCACTATTTCTCCCTCTTTATGCTAATTTGTCCTACTTTTAGTCCTTTGATCATCATTTTTATCATTTTCTCCGACAGGGCAAAAGGAGCCACTTTGGGGTCTATGGGAGACTTTTCTGGGGAACATTTGGGGCAGTTTTGGGTCTGGGGAGGGAATTTAGAGACAACCTGGGGGTCTGGAGGACACTTGGGGAGCTGGGTGGGCACATGGAGGGGCACTTAGGGATTCTGTGAGACAATTCGGGGCCGGGGGGAGCACTTGGGGGTCCAGGGGAGCGCTTGGGGGTCAGCGACCTGAATCTGGGGGCCCTTCGGGGCCCGGGCGGGCACTTGGGGTCTGTAACGGGGCTCCATGGGGCGCGGGGAATGATGGGAGCTGTAGGCGCCGGTATAATAAGGTTTAATGGGGCCACGGAGCATCACGGGAGTTGTAAGCGTATCTCCAATGGATTCCGGTGAGGCGCGGGACATGATGGGAGATGAAGTCCCGGCTGGAATAGCGCTCTTTGTGCACCGCGGAGCTTGATGGGAGCTGTAGTTCCGGAAGTGGCTCGGAAGGCGCGTTCGGCGGTGCAGGGAGGCACTTGGAGAGCACTTCTGCTTCCGAGCCGTGGCTGCAGGTTCTCGGGGCGAATGTATACGGCTCGGGAGCACCTGGGGTGAACCTGGGGAGCTCTAACTGGGCTCCTTAGGGCGGCAGACATGGCAGGAGGTTTGGGAGCGGAACTGTGTTCTAGGATGATGGGAGATGAATTCCCAGCAGTGTCTGGAAGGGGCATCTGTGGGGTCGGGAGCATTCAGGGATACAGGGATGCTTTAGGGGTTCCCGAACGGGCGCTGAGGGGGCACTCGGGGATCCTGAAGGGTCTGGGGGACACTTATGGGACATATGGGGGGCAATCCCGGGGTTCTGGGGAGCGCAGGGAATATTCCCAGTTCCTCACAACCTGGTCTCAATTGCCCCCTGCAGGCTCCTACTCACTGCCAGGACGATCCCAGTATGATCCCAGTATGATGTCACTACACAGCCAGTGCAATCTCTGGCACTGCTAGGATGATCCCAGGATGATCCCAGTACAAATCAGTCCCTGCCAGTGCTGCCATTCCTGGGATCCCCCAGCCCTCTCTGTGTTCCCCCCTCCTGCATCTCCCCAGAGGAGCCCCAAGGGCTGGCAGTCCTCAGCCAGGATCCCCAGCCAGCCCCAGGTTGGATCTGCAGCCCCCAATTTTCCCAGTTTCCCTCTCCTTTTCCCCGGGCCAGGTTCCCCCCGCCCGCAGCGTGTGGGAGCAGCTGAGAGCCCCGCGCTGCCCATCCCAACCTGTCCCGGATCCATCCCCACTCCTCCCATGGACTGTGAGGGGTTTGGGAACGGGGCACCGAGGGTGTCACTGCTCCTGGGGGGAGTACTCCTGGGAGGAGGGATGGAAGAAGAGGGATGAAGGAGAGCAAGAAAGGATGGAAGTAGGAGAAAGGAGTGGTGTTAGGGAGGAGGTGGAGGAGGGAGGAAGAGGCGGAGCGGTGTTAGGGAGGAGGTGGAGGAGGGAGGAAGAGGCGGAGCAGGAGGAAGAGGAGGAGGAGGAGGGACAGAGGAGGATCAGGGAAAGGAGAAGGAACCACAAGGTCC